CAGAAACACAGCCTCCTGTCTCTTCGTGTCTGCTTTCCGCGCGATAGTCTAAGGAAATCCTACCACGTTCTACCAGTCATTAGTGTCCTTGCGGTTTACACTTTTGTCTCTCACCCACAACACCCGGGTTCGACCCCCCTTGTGGTCAAATCATTTTTTTTCTTTTTCCCTACCTTTGCATCAATCAACTCCGCCTTGGCAGTTGGTGCTCCGAACAGTCTTGGCAGTGCTCTGATAGTCTTCACTCGAGTTCTTCCCTTCTGTTCATCTGTCAAAAGTTGTCTTCCTCTCAAAGTATTCTCCAACTTCTCATCCATAAAAAGAGCAGCAAGACTTGGATTATTCTTCAAATTCGTTAAAACTCGAGACTCTTTGGCTATTTTCCATTCTGGAGAAGGGAATCTTCGGATGTTTTCCTGAGTTTTTGGATCCGATCCGATCAATAACGGAAGCATTTTACGTGGTCTTGTTGGGATCTTTCTAGGCACAAAGTAGCCAGGTTGAGGCTTCGGATTGAAATCCATTGGCTTCGGCTCTAAATACTTTTCGACGTCGTCAACTCTATACTTTATTCTATCCAATGCATTCCGTAATTCGTCATTTGATTTCAGCTTCTCCACGAATCCAGATGAGAGACGGAGAGGAGCACGACGGAAGGAATTGGCAGATGGATCTATGGAATTCTCGTCTTCTTCATCGTCATCTTCGTCATCGAGATCTCCGAATCCATGGAATCCGAGGACCAATTGAGATTTCTGATCAAGTTTTGCGCGGGCTTCCATGGCTTTGAATGTGTTTTCATCGTCGTCTGGAAATAGGGTACTCTATTAGAAGGGCATGTCTAGTTTCAAGAATTGTGCGTGTAGAAGCGAGAATTATTTCACAAGTTCTGGCATCTGGATATTCAGATTTCATAAGATCCGGATGTCCAGATGTCTGGAAGTTCTTCTATCTGGACATCCAGAAGTCCAGATGTTCACATGCTCGGGTATCCGGATAGCATAATATCTTGATATCGGAGGGGTCAGTAACCAAGATTCTTGGATGCCCAAGTATCCAGATGTCCGGATGTCCATCCATCAAGACCTTCTGGTATCCAAGCATCCGAATGTCCGGAAGTCCAAATGTCCAGCTGACAGAACTACCGGATGTCCAGTTTTCCAGACATCCAGATATCCGGATATTGATTTATCCTAGAATACAGTTATCCAAATGTCCGGAAGTCCAGATGTCCATATGTGCTCTTCTATTAAAGGCGCTTCTCACAGCGACTCACCATTCATTGCCAATGGTCTTCTCTTGCTCAACGGAGAATCCCTCATTCGTTGATAAGACAACAAGGATTGGACTTCAGCGTTCTAAAATTGCCCTTTTATTAGAGGCTCGTTTCTAACTAAAGAATTACCTGCAGCAGACCCTTCAATCTAGGACTATTCCTCAACCGTCTGGCCAGATCCCTCCTCTGATGCTCCGCCTCCGATTGTGGCACTCCACCACTTCTCCGTGGTACAGTATCCTCTTCCTCCTCATCCTCCTCATCATCCTCTTCCTGCTCCCTCTGCTGCATCCTCTGATCCACTCGATTATTCATCATTCCTGGAGCATTTCTCCCAAGCATTGCCCTCTGAGCCATTGCTTGTTGAAGGACTGATGAGGGGGCTGCTTGAGCTTTTCTCATCTGTTGGGGCATTTTGAATGGGTTTCTTCCGGCTATCATATTGGCAACTAGGCCTGGAAGGATTTGGGTCTGGAACTTGTCGAGGACGGCTTTCGCGATCTGGAAAATTGGGAATTTGAGGCATGGAGGCTAATTGATAAGCGCGGTAAGACAGGTCAAAAAGAGAATATGCCCTTATATTAGAGGATAGGCTAACCTGCTCAGAAGGATCCGTGTTTTCCATATCCCGCTGCGTTCTGATTGCATCTTCCAGTCCTCTAATACTACTTCCAATTGGGATTCCGTTTCCGTTGAGCATGTCGATGAAGGCGTTTCCTGAAAGGGCTCTTGTAATAGAGGTTTTTCAGATTTTGGTGGTCTTCCATGAACTCTCTCTCTTTCTCTCTCTCTCTCCCTCTCTCTCTCTCAGGATCTCTCCTCCCTAGATACGCAGACTGCTAGACAGTCTAGGTGTCTGCGTCTCTCCCCCTCTCACCTGTCTTCGGTTGCAACTTAGACATCTCGGCCTGCTGCATAACCGCATCCGCCGCCAAATCCTCCACTTTCAGCTTCTTATACTTGTCAAATTGATCTGGATGCACCTTCTCCAACACCTCCAATTGTGTCTTGAATGCTCCTTTTGCCATTTCCATTTGTCCCTTTTTTATAAGGGCATCCACGAATTGTACTCCCATCAGTTCCAGTGCTTCCATGGAAGGGGCGAGAGGGAGTTTTGGAGGATGGTTTTTGGTGGCGAGGGAAGTGAGAAGGGCGCCAGGGACATCCGGATCCGCGGAGGCTGGCAAGAAATACTTTTAATAGAAGGGCACGATATTCGAAGGTTGCAGTTTGTATTTTTTAGCATCCCCTGGACTACAAACTACAAATAATGTTCAGCAGACTATGTGGTCCCCTAAAAGAACACAGCCGAATGGATATAGCATACCAAAAACTATTGGTAGCGGCTGGTAGCGCATTTGGTTATCTACCAGACTAGCCTTGGGTTCAAACTCACCTGTAGCTACTTTTCTCGATTTTTTTGAAATATTTTTCAAGACCCATCATCCTCCAAAACCAAACTTCAGTTATTACAAAACTCACCAAAATTTAGACAATTGAAAAATGAAAATATCAATAAAAATAGAATCATTGGCTTCCTTTCTCAGCTTTCTCCAACTGAGAAAAATGGAAAAAGAAGTGAAAATCTGTCGGAAAGAAAACGAGAAGGAGGACTGGATGAAAACAAGAATAATGAATTGATAAGAAGAGAATCTAACGGCTAATCGAGATATCACCTTTCCCCCTGATTCAAAGAGAGGTGAACCCAGAGAAACAGGTTTCTGGAGAAGAGGATTGAGGAGGGATTCATGGATTTGTTACATCAGACAAGCAAGCTATCAGTGGGAAGATATTATTAGCAGAATCAAAGTTCGGGGAAATGAAAATGACTGTAATCGAGAGTCAGGAGAATTATTATCAGAGAGATGGAGTGTCCTTATATTGAAGAATCTGCTTTTGTCCGGTTAACGCTTTTCTGCGCTTGTATCAGAGGTTTATAGTTGGTAACCTGCACAATTAAATATCTGGACATCCGGACATCTGGAAAAACGTCAAAACTTTAGAAAAGCTGGCTTCTAAGGTGCCTGAATAATTTGGGTACGGAATTTCCAGATGTCTGGATGTTTTAATTTTTGAGAAGCTATAAACACCTTCTATTGAAAATCTGGACATCTGGATATCCGGACATCCATACACTCCCCCTTCACACTTGGTTATATTTCGCCTGAAATCTCCACTTTCTTTCTTTTGGAACTCGGCTCAAAACGATTTTCAGAGCCATCTCCAAGACATTTTCTGCTCCTTATGAGATTTCAAACAAATTTATGTAAAAATACCAGAGACATTTCAAAATTTTTTCCATTGTTTGGATGATCGTTGGAGTTGGTTTTCAAATTCAATTCAAGTAATCAAATCCGACTTTCAATAACTGAAATAGGAAAATACATCAAGCCAGACCTTGATTATAGTGGCACATGGAAGTATTATGAATATTCCATTATCAGGAAAATACAACAGATCAGTTCGCGCCCCATTGATGACAAAAGGCTAAGTCAGCAGCGGTCAATGGAGCGCGAAGTGATCTGCTGTATTTTCCTTATACAAAAATCACTCAAATCTAATTTTTCAAATAATCTTCAATTTCAGCAGAAATGTTTGTTTACTTTTCTCCTTCACCATAATTCTTCTCTCCGCTTCTTTTTTTCAACCCATTCAAAAAAAAGTGGTCGTGTGCCGGTCGTGTGTTCCAGATGGCTATCTTCAAAGTTTTTTGTCGGTCTCTTTTTCTTTTTGACGACCATTAACATCGTCGGAGGTCGACGGAGGTGATTCAGAAGAACTTTTTGAGGAAGATTTGAATAAAAGATTAACGGCGGAGGGAATGGAACTTTCGAGATGAAGGACGGGTCAGGAATTTAGATACAAGGTTTGGAGGAAAGGACATGTTACAAAGAAGGTAAAATGAAAAACTCACGTTGTAGGTTACAGAAATAATGTTTCTAACAATTTCGGAAAACTGATTCATTCGGTCCTTGTTTTCAAGTTAAGAGGGTAGTTTGGCACCTTGACCCGTGCAATCGCAATTTTTTCACTCTCCTGACACACCAACCCGAACAAATAACGACATCTGGATGGGCGGACATTAGAACATTTGGATATACTTGTTCGGACTTCCGAGTGTCTTCTACTAATCAATCCTACCGGACACTTCATCCTCTAAATAGATCCAATGTTGTTTTCAGACTCTTCTTCTAGAGCTTTCTGTTTTTTTTTGAAGATTTCGAACCGATTATCTTTTTTACTGTTTCATAAGAAATGAGTTATCCAACAGTCTGGTTCTCAAATTCAATTGATTCTCAGTGACCGAAACTATCCACTAGAATCCCGTAGGTTCTTTTTTTCCAGCCCCTCTACCCCATTTTTTCTCTCCAACTCCTTTTTCCCCTCAAATTTCAAAAAAAGATTGGTCGCGTGTTCTAGATGCCTATCTATATGTCATCAGAATACCACCGGTTCTTTTTTAGCGTGGAGGTCGGAAAAAGAAGAAGAACTTTTAGAAGATTTCGATAGGAGATTAGGAGAATTAAGAACTTTTGAATGAGATAAAACAACTGGAGAAGGTTGTTGGGAAAAAAGAGAAAAAGAAACATGCCGACACCAAAAAAATTGATGGGTGACTGAAGGACAAGAGGAATTAATTGGTGTGTTTGTTTTTGAAAGGGAAGGTAATTTGGTGGTGACTCCAAACATTGATTTCTAGTATATAAATTTAAGAAAAAAGATATGAGCCTGAGCGGGATTGAACCCGCGTGCTGAATTTACAAAACAAGAGTGATAACCACTACGCCACAGGAGCATCGCAAATATCTCGAAGAGAAAGCATACACATAAATGCTCCTATTCTTCCTTTGCCATCAAGCTTCACAGAGGTTCAAAGACTGACAAAACAGACAGTCGAAAACTTGGACATCCGGATGGATGAGACATCTGGAAACTCAGAACCACAGACAGACACTTCTTTGAATATGCAATTTTATTTTCCTCAAAAATCAATACAAAAAACTTTTCAAAAAAATGCATCAGTTGGTGGGTGTAAAATAAGGGAATCTCCATCAAGGAGAAATTTCAGAATCGAAGAAAAAATACTGGAAAGATGAGGAGTTTTTTTTGGAGAGGGGAGGGAGAATAAATATTTTTGGGATGATACTAGTAGGGGAAATATTTGGTTAAGGGGTAGGATGGTGGGGTTCAAAATATACAATCAGGGAGATTTTTGAGTGTGTGTATAGGACATCCGGATATCTGGATGGACAGATAGACACCTGGATATCTGGTAATCCGAGTGGACCACCACCTGATTATCCGGAAACCCAGTTACACAGTCATCTAGCAATCCGCAAATCTAGACATCGGGACATCTGGACTCTGAGACACACAAACAGACAGACATCTGGACATCCTTCCACACAGACAAAAATCATAAAATAATGAAAGAACTGGCTTCGGTAAAGCTGACAGGAAGAAAATGGGATAGGTGGGGGACGGGAAAAATACTTTCAAGTGAAAAACAATTGAATTACTTTCGGATGAATTGAATGAATACTTTTGAATCGAAAAATGAAAGAATACAGTGTCCGAATGGACTGAAAAAATACTGGAAAGAGCACAGAAAAGAGCTAAAATTGGGTAGGTACTAGTAGGGACCGGACTAAAACAGGGATGAGGGCAAATGGAGGGATGGAGGAGGATTACTGTAGTACTAAGACTGCTACAGTAAGTGTCTAGAATGCCAAATGAGGTAGAATAAAAATGAAAGAAAAAGTGAATTCGAAAAAGTGAAAAATTGGGAAATATCATGGAAGAAACTAGAGATTTGGAGAGAAGGGGGGGACTGAAGGACTTTTTGGGAGGACTATTTTGGAAAAATTCGAATTTTCAAAAAAATGAGAAATGGACTGTTTAGAATGGATCAGTATCGACACCCTTCAACGCGTCCTCCCATGGAAAACCGGGAATCGCGTTGATCGTTGGATAGATTCCAGAGAAATCATCCGAGAATAGGGCACCCATACCGGAGAAAACTCCTGGTGGGATAGTGGAGGAGGAGGTGGAAGAGGAGGATGTGGAACCAGTGGAACTCATTGAAGCAACTCCAGAAGAAGTGGGTGATGATGTGGATTGTTCAGAAGCGCTGCAATCGGCGTATCCTGAAGAGCCGGAGGAGAGGGATCGCATGTCATCCTGGAAAGACTTTTTATAGAAGGGAATGTGACATTCCTGTGAAAAATCTTCAGAAAAATTGAGTTTTCGTGGTGGAAAACTACAGAAATCCATGCAAAACTGCTCAAAACAACTAAACTGGTCTGTAAACTGAATTGTCGTTAAGTCTGACGTTCAGTACGCAAACACCAAATCACATAAGTCCTTACGCAAAATCGTAGACTCTAACAGTCGTGTGCGCGCTCAGAAACTAGGTAAATCTGGCTGAAACGCTGGGATTTTTTCAGGTAAGCCAAATATTTATCAGGTCCCTCTGTGGGTCTGTTATATATTCTGCATACTGAAAACGCCTTGCTCATGCATCCTAAAAAAACAATCAAACCGAATAAGCAGATCATGCACATTCCATTGAAAAAGAACTGCAAATCCTTACCGTACCTGATCAACAGATGGTGGTGGGGAGGTGTGCAGGTAGAACGGATGGTTTCCGGCACCGAATCCAGCATTGTGACCCATCATTTGGGGAGCCAATCCCATATCCATAAGGGGTGTCTAAAAAAAAGGGATTTAGTTGTTCAGATATCCGGATATCCACTTACCATTCTCAATGGACTCCCGGCATTATGAGACTGAAACTGATGTTGTTGTCCATAGAAGTCATCATAGAATCCAGATTCCGGAGTCAATGGGGCGTGTCCTCCGAACTCTGACGGAGAAGGATATGACGGATGAAAGGACATCTTCTGGTTGCTCATTCCATTCCACTCCGGTTCCATTTTCACCGCTTTGAACTGAAATTGTGTAGATTGATCCGGAAGGATTTGCTCTGGGTTTGGGCGTTTTCTCTGACGGGCTTGGGGAGACGTGCCACGTGGAGCCGACGAGTTTTGCGCGGCGATTTGAGCATTCTGAGCGGTTTGAGCCGGTTGGACCAGGGTTCCGTCTGGATTCTTCTTAGGCTTCTTGCGTGGTTTGTACTTGTAGTCGGGGTATTCCTGGAAAAATCGGATTTTGTTGATTCCTATCGTTCACTACCCTCCCCAACCCCCCCTAATCACCAACCTGCATGTGACAAACTCTCAATCTCTCTGCCTCCTGCACAAATGGTGACTTCTCCTCATCGGTCAAATTCCGCCAACGTGATCCCAACTGTTTACTGATCTCCGCATTGTGCATATCGGGTTGATGCTCACAAATCTTTCGTCGTTCCATCTGGGACCATACCATGAATGCATTCATCGGACGTTTGATGTGATTCGATGACTTTTTGCAATTTGTGGCGTCAGAGTACGGTGTTCCAGATGTTGTGTTTTTCGGAGCGAGTTGGACCTGAAAGTGTTCAGTTGGGAATATACAAATTGTGATTTTTTCATAATATTGGAGACGAGGAGAAACTATAATAGGTCATTACTGATAAGGCGACGGGAGTTTCTGGAGTTTCAGGCGAAATACGATAAGAATTCGAGGAAGAAAATGACCAGTACAGAGTTCTTGATGGCCTAACTTGGGATAACATTCAAAGCTTGTAAGTCTCCTTGATAGAATAACCTTCTATCCGATGACGGAACATTCCTATTCCTCAATTTGAAGGGCACTACTTCCTGTTTACCATTTGCCACTTATTACTTTCTTTTCCTTCTCATAGTTTCTCTCTGTTTTTTTCATACTAACCTTATACCCGGCCGCCCCATACGGATGATGTTGTAACTGCTGTTGTTGCTGGGTTACTGTAGAAGACGTGGCACTTGTCGCCGTGGAGGAGGCGGCAGCGATGGCAGCTGCAGCCCATATAGGCTGCATCATGTGCTGACTCATTCCACAATCCAGCAGATAGTTGGGCGGTTTTTGGAGATCCATCTCTGGAAAATTGGTTACGGTAAAAAGTACGGTAACTGATACGATAGACGGAAAAAGTACGGTAAAATATTGCAGAGAACAGGGGAATCGGAAAAAGGGGGCGGGGCGAAGAGAGGAATAGAGACGAAGATGGACAGAGAGAAAATATGGAATTTACAGTAATCCTAAAGCTATGGCATCGGAGATTTCCACTGAGGAACCTGGGAATCAGAAGAAACAAAAACTACAGTAACCCTATACCTAAATGATACGGTAACCCCATACGGAAGCTACAGTAACCTATAGTATACCTGAACTACAGTAATCCAATCAAAAACAAGAAATAATAAACAAAAACTATACAACTTCTATCACTATACTGAAACACTTTCAAATAGTATAACACGAAAGTGTGTTTCAGGTAATGGTCACTCAAAGTAATCATTGATAAGTGCGAAGTAAATAAAAAAGTGATGATAAGCGAGCCCTGGAACATTTCGATGCAGGCGAGAGAGTGTGAGAAAGAGAGACGGCAGAGAGAAAGAAAATTTGAAAAAAAGCAAAAAAAAAAGAAAACTTTGAGTCGCTTTATTCACACTGTAGATCTGGATGCACCTGCAATCAATTATTTGAAAAATAACAAATAGTTAAATTATTTCACAATTGAGCGATGGATAATAGAGGTCATTTGACACAATAAAGCGGAATATTAGGCGGATTTGGAGTCACCTCTAATAGAAGGGCATTTGCCAAGAACATCAGGCTGCACTTCTAGTAGAGGGAGATGAGGAATGAGGTCATGGAATTACTGAAGAGATGAAATGTTCAATTTTGAGTTTTCTTTGATAAAAGGGCACTTTTCTTATAGAAGGAATTTGAGGTAATCGGTACAAAATGGAGAGTTGGGTAGTCATGTGATGGCAAGTAAGAAAGAGAGATATGTTAAATTTTGAATTCCCTCGTATAAAAGATCAAGTGGGGTTTCTCCAGGGCTGTCAGATCGGGCCGCGGCCGTTTTTATATCTTGCTTCCTAGTGGTGAGGTCTTTTCGGTGAAAGAAGCGGCCTTGAAGAGCACAAAAGGTTAAGCATTTTGGTAAAAAGACGGCCCGGGTTTTTTTTTATCCGCGGCCGGCCGTCTGACAGCCCTGGGTTTCTCTTATGTTAGAGGAAATTATTATAAAATCGGTACAAGATGGGGAGAAGAGAGAGAAAGCATAAAAAAGCTCCAAATTTAAAGCTTGTGAAGTGGAATGCATCTGAATTCGAATGGCTTGGCATCGTCCTGTTTTGGAGCGAGGAAGTTTAATGCAGTGATATCATCTCCTGGAGCTCCTCCAATCTGGGTGGAAGTCGAAGTGTTTGGAGAGATCGACTCTTCCGATGCGTTACTTCCGTATCCAAGGGAAGAGGATGCATTCGAGAGTGGACGTGTCTGTGGAGCAGTGGAGGTGGACGGTCCAGATAGATCCTGGAATTGAGGGAAGGGAGTGTATCCCTGGTGAAGTTGTGGATGATAATATGCATTCATGGCGGTGTATGGATTCTGACCCATTTGGTTAGTGACCATCTGGAAGAGAAGGGAGGTTGATTAGAATGAACACAGGAAAGGGTGAGTGATTGGAAAACAACTGAATGAGTGCAGGGATACGGTAGTTCATTAGTCTGCTCGGATGTCTGGATGCCCTGATTTCTTTTAGAAAAAAAACCGTATCCCTATTCAAACCATGCAATTCATCACCCCCAAAATCCACTTACCTGATCCATTGGCATGAAGAAGCCTCCACCAAATCCTCCATAT